TTCTGTAGATTCGCTCACCGTATGCTCGGCTCTCACAGCTGCGAAGAGTACCATAGCCTGCTCTGTACGTTGAGTCTTAAAAATATATTTCATAAACAAAATATATTCTATATTATTAATAAATTATTATTTTATTTAAAAAATACTAAATACAATTTAATTTTTTAGGAAAATTTACCTAGAATACAGTTTAAGAGATAAGAAAAAATTTAAGTTAACTCTTTTTAATAATCATCTAAACTAAAATTTCTAAAAAACTAAACTATAGCAAAATAATATAGTTAATATATTAAACTTTATGAAAATTTTTTTAGAGTACTGTACATGCATAGTTAGACATTAAAATAGAATTAAAAAAAAGTTGCAACTTTGTAGTAATAGTTTAAAAGTACTTTGAAACTATAAAAAAAGTAGTTAATAAAAGCTAAAGTTTTTTATTAAGTAAACAATAAAGTTGAATATATTAGTTTTATACAATTGTAAAACCTATAAGAAATATCTAAAAAGGTCAAGAACTTACAAAAGTTACAAAATTGGTTTACCTCTCATCTTTACTTTTTCAAAGAAAATTTTTATAAAAAATAAATAATTTAGTTTACTTTCTCTTAAAAATAGATATATAAAATTATCAAAACAGTTAGCAATGTTTACTTTCTAAACAGGTTTGTTAATAATATAGATTAGAAATAATATAGTAATACAAACATAACTATATATATGTCTCAAGCTACTAAAAACTTGTTAATACTGTCTCTGAACTAATTAGTACCCTATACTAATTTTCTATAATCAAGTCAAAGTTTTTTCTTTTCTATAAAGTTTTTTATTAAATAATTTAAATAAGGATTAAATAAAATAATGCATATGCACTATAGCGCCTCTTTGTATTACTATGTAATATCATTACACATTATTACATATATTTTGTTAGTTTGCATTTATGATTATATATATTTTAATTGTCCATAAGTCTGATTTGAGGTATAAATAAAACAAATTGTAGAATATTTCTAATCCTCTCCTTTACATCATTGATTACAGATTTTTATATTGCAAGGCTTTTTTTTGTTGTGTAAAGTATTTTATTACGCAAGGTTTTTTATGTTTTTGCATCACCAAAGTTTTTTTTACCTTCATCAGGCTTTATTCTACATTATAAGGTCTTTTTTTATGTTGCCAAGTCTTTTTTTTTACATTGCTAGGCCTTTTTTTTATGTTGCCAGCTTTTTTTACATGATCAAGTCTTGTGTCAACAGGTCTTTTCTGTGTCTCCAAGTTTCTTTTTACATTCCAAATATTTTTGGTGTCTTCAGGTGTCTCTCTGAGCCTTTATTTTACTGTGACAAGTCATTTTTTTTTGCTATTAAGTTTTTTTTTAACCACCAGGCCTTTTTTGTTTTTTCAGGTCATTTTGTGTCACTTTTGTGCTACTAGGCTTTTTTTTGTGCCATCAGGTCTATTTTTTTGCTTTATTATGATGTTGCTAGATCACTTTTATATATTCAGACTTTTTTTTACATCTCATTTTTTTTGCATCATCAGGTTGTCTTTTGCACTATCAGATCGCTGCATCATCATTTATTTTTTGCATCACCTGATCTTTTGTGCTACTGAGGTTGTTTCTTTGTATCTTCAAGCTTCATTTGCACTACTAGATTATTTTTGTCATGCTTTCAGGTATTTGATAGTTTATATTATGCCGCTAGGATTTTTTTTTTTTTTTTTTTTATATCTCCAGATCCTTTGTTTTGCATTATTAGGTTGTTTTTTACACCAGCAGGTTTTTTTTTTTGCATTGACAGGTTTTTTTGCATCATTAGCCTTTTATCTGGATTATCAGCTCTTTCTTGCATTATCAAGTATTTCTTTTTTTTTATTATGTTGCTAGTTTATGTAGTATTATGCATCTAGGTCTTATTTTTTTTTTATGTCTGTGGGCTTTTTTTTGTATCATAAGGTCTTTTTTACGTTCCTCATACTTTTTCATACCACCAGGTTTTTTTTTGTGTTATTAGGACTTTTCTATACATGCAGTCTTTTTTGTAAGTATTCAAGATTTTTTTTCTTTGATTAGTGCTTGCTTTGTTAGTAAGTTAGACATTATCTTACTAAGTATAAACTTTAGGTTCTAAATATGACCAAAATGTTTAAGGAGAGCAATCATACTGAATATACTAATGAAATTGAAAATACTAGTCTATTAACTTCTTTTGAGAAGGGTATAAGCTCTGATTTGTTCAGTACCAAGGTTTTTTTGATATAGAAGGAATGTGATTTATTTATTAGTGAGTAGGCTAAAAAAAAAAGCTTTTGTATCAAAAAAGATCGCATAAAATGAGAAGATGGAATTATAAGAAGGTGTACATACTTATATGATCATTCTTGTTCTTACGATTCAAAGTCAAAAAAAGATTCAGTTACAAAAAAAATTAATTGTTTATTTCTTATTAATCTTCATGCCCTAAGCCTAATAATCCTGAATCTTATATATATATTAATAAGATTGTCAATAAGTATAATTATCCTCTAAGTATTAAAAAGATCAATTTCAAAGAAAGTAAAAAGTTTATATCCGAAATGATTGATAATATAAGATTTTTAACTTCCTATTATAAATTCAGGGCAACAGTGCAGCAAAAGTTTTTAAAAGGGAAGTATTCTACCTAGCCAATATATTCCAAAGATTTGTATGCCACTATTCATAAGTTTCAGCTGACTACTAAAACATTAGAAAATGATACAACATCGATGTCCAATTGGCTAGATAGCCAAAAAGAACATGACTCTCAGTGGATTGTTGTTAGGAGTTGGGACAAGGATGATACACTCACAAAGTTACTATAGATGACCCCTGAACAAGTCGAAAATTGGATACAATTTTCAGACTGTGTTTTAAATGATGTGACCCATAAAACAAATTGTTATAGCATAGTGTTATCAATGTTTGTAGGATTTAATCATAATCGTCACAATATACTTCTTGTGCAAGCTTTATTACCAAACAAAAGCATGGAATTTCACGTTTGGATGTTTAAAGAGATATTAAAAGCAACTGATAAGCAGCCAGCTGTTATAATAACTGATGCAGATTTCACAGTAGATTCTGCAGTTTGCCAAGTATTTGTTCAAAGCTATTCAATTCATTATGCTTTTCACATGACACAAAATATTAACAAGCACCTAAAGAATTCATTTGCAAGTAATTATGAAATTTTATTGAAGCTTTTTATATATATAGAAACAGTCTTGCAAAAGAAACTTTTGAAAAAAGGTTTGAAGATCTTCATCAAAATTTTCTTGAGGCTAGTTTTTATCTTGAAGTATTATATCACAACAAGGCCTATTAGGCCTACTGTTTTATACAGTTTAAATTTACTGATGGTATGATATCATCTTCCCACATAGAATCAATGAATGAGTGCTTAAAATGATTATTATATAGTTCAAATATTTCTTTATATAAATTAATAAATAAAATTTATCGACTTTTGGATTTTCAAGACAAAAAAAAAGAATATAACTTTTGGAAATTATCTGTTCCTTGCATTAGAAGTCAAGACAAAACAAATTTTCTTTTAAAAAAATCAATATATATT